AGCAAGAAAAGAAGAGAAAAATACAGACAACTAGAATCAGGAATCAGATAAATGATATTACTACAGATTTTAGAGATATTGTATTAAAAGGCTAATAAGGAAATATTATAAATAAATAGAAAAATTAAAGAAATACTTTGGAAATTAGTATAAGAAGCAAAATTTTGGAACATCATGGAACTATTATTCAATCCAAAGAAAAATTGAAAATTTGTAAAGGATTCTTATCCTTCTAAACTAATTTTCCTCTACTTCGTTTATTTTTACTCTCCTTTTAGTTTTAAAATAATTTTAAATAATCTACTTTTTTTCCCTTGCCCTCAGTCATGCATTTAGTTCATCATTATCTATCATCTTAGAGCAAACAAAATATCCTGTATGTGTCTGTTAATATTCAGTTATATAATCACTACTTTCCCTTATCCTGAATTCAATTTTTAGACTCTCAAAATGTGGGGGATTTTATATATATAATATAAATATATAAAGTTATTATATAGTATATATAAACATATAAAATATTATTACATATTTTATATATAAATATATATTTTTATATTATATATATGGCTTCTCTAATCACTCATATAGCAGATGTTGATATATTCTATGTTAAATGAAAATAAATTATTTTTCCCCACTTTGTTACAATACATTCACCCAATTCAATACCAGAAAGATAAATTGATGCTTTTACTCATAAAAGGTGATCAAAATGTGAAGCATTTGACATGATACTGTTTTACTGTACTTAATGACTCCTAGTTAGTAAATATTAAGCTGAAAATAAGATCATTTGAGTGGTTTAAATTGATCTCAGTTTTATTTAACTTCAAAGGAAAATAGATACTAATTTGAAATTTGTTATCTTTTAATTTGTAAATAGATACTGGAAGGTTTCATTTCTAATAAGTTGTGGTACATGTGTGATTTCATAAATTCTAATAACTCAGAGTAATGAGCTATATTCTACAGTAAAACACACAACTTGACTGGTTAATATAATTCTCACATTGTACATTTCTTATAAAGGTAGAAATAAATGAGTAAAAATGTACACTTTGAAGTATATTTTGAAATGTGTGTTTTATTTGAAAGTATAAATTTTCTATTATTTCTTCTTATTATAAGCTCATGTTAGATGGGACAGTATTCAATTTACAAAGAATCAGTATATGATGAATTCAGATAAACCAGAAGCACAGTCCACTTACCCAGGAAAATGAACGCGATCATGCTGGAACACCTGGGGCTGTTCCCTGGAGAAAGCGGGTGTGTTTAGTCCAGCCTCCTTCCTAACAGAAACTGTCCAGAATAAGGTGCCAGCTTCTGCTCTTAATCCCTAAAATCATTACCAATTCAAGACAGTTTCCTATGTCACCTTTTCCTCACCAATCTTTCCTGGGCCATGAACTTTCCTAATCAAATTCAAATTTATTTTTTCCTGAGTGTGCTAATCTTGGATATTATTTTTCCAAGAAAGCCCGCAAACCAAATAATAAGAGAAATAATACACGGTAGGCACATTCATAAAGTTGTTTTTCACCCCTCTTCAACTAGAAGTCTACAAATAATATCGCAGAGGTCTACAAATATCACAGAAGTCTACAAATAATTATATTCCACCCAATGACCTAATTATAATTTAACAAGAGAATTATAATGTATAAAATTAATCATTTGTCTTCTTAAAGATATTGAATCACTAAATTTGTTTCATATCCTCTACCAATGTTCTTTTCCACATAAGCCAAGTCAAAATGACCTAATGTAGATATGGAATACAGTAATACATTGAAACCAAATGCAAAGCCCCATCAGAAAGTGTTCATCCTCAGCAAGCAGGGCCAGGGCTGGAGTCTATTACTTACAGGTGTAGGAAATACCTGTGGAGCCGCACCTGCTTACCACACGCGAAATAAGAATCACCAGCTGTCATCTCAAGGCAAGACCACTGTCATCTGTGCCCTTTCTCTGCAGAACCTTCCTCAGAATAGTATAAAGGCAAAATTTTTTAAATATTACCAAGAAAATTGATTATGTTGAAGTCTAGGTATCAAAATATTTTTGAAACAAGCTTGTGATATGTTTCTTTAGTAACTAAATATGACAATCCAAATGGTTCAAATAATACTGTAATTTAAATGTAGTGATGATCATAATCCCAATTGAATATATTTTCTAAAAATGCAATTGCTATAAAAAATATCTGTAATTTCTGTGGGTGACAAAGGTACCATAGGAAGTTACTGAATTCCAACGAGTTTAGTAAAAATAGAACATGCCACAAGCAAATTTATAGACATCTCAGATTAATAAACCCGAATCAAAAACTGAAAATAATACTCTCAATTCTGCTTTCAAATGCCAAGAGACTATTGAATCAGAGCATTCTAGAGGTGGGAAGAAATAATAAAATCATCAGTTTAAATAGTTTGCAATGATAGTGTGTGTGATTTCAAATGTAGCTGTGTTTCAAATAAAATGCTATAAATACATAAATGAAGGAAAAAGTGAAGTTGTTCTTGTAGGAATTTGGATGAGAAGGCCCAAGTTCTGATTTTTTTTGCCATGATCGATCACAGCTGCCATGGAACCATCCAAAGTTGCCAGATTTTTCATTCATAATTTCATTTCATTTCATTGTTTAGTTTTTTCAAAAAACTGTTTTTTGACAGTTAAATGCAATGCGCAGTATTAGTCAACTTTCCTGTTGCTGGGGAAAATATACTGCACACTTGAAACTTAAAGGAAGTGTTTATTTTGACTCGTGGTTTTCAGAGGACTCAGTGCACAGGTGGTTGGCTCCAAGGCAGAAGAACAGAGTGAAGGTTATGGTTTAGGAACCCTGCTCACCCCTTGGCAGCAGTGAAGCTGAGAGAGAAGAGAGAATGAGGAACAAGAATATATCCTTGCAGGTCAAATTCCCAGGAACCTGTCCACCAGCCAGGACAAACCTCTGAATGTAAGACCTTTAGGGGACATTTTAGATCTAAAGCATAACATGTACTGAACCTCACATCTGGGGAGAAGACTCTCAACAAATGTTTCCTAAACCCTACTGTGTCAAAGCCTGGAAAAATGGAAACGAGAAATGGCACTAGTTTCACAAATCAGATAAACTTTGGTTCAGACAGAACTGCATGTAAAATAGAAAGAAAGTAAAAAATGTAAAAATTGTAAAGCCAGAGTAAATCATTGAAAAAAACCTAATTATTAGAAGACATTTCCTTTTGGAAAATAAAACTGTTTAAACTTTGTGCTTAATAGCACTCTCTTTACCCCAACTAAACCTGTATTGCCCTTACATTTGTCAACTTAAAATTTTGTAACATGGTCTCATCTGGAAGAGAGAAAGTCTGATCAGCCTCAGACTTAGAGTCAACCTTAAATGGGCATCTCTCTCTCTCTATATATATTTTTTAATATATATATATATTTATTTGTTTATTTATATTTCATATGGTTCTTGGCTACAAGAACTGTAAACACAGTTCTAAGATATTGAGTAACAAACGAAGACAAAATGTAGTGTTTTTTTTTTTCTGTCTGGAGAGGTAAAAAACCTGTACTTTTTTTTTTACATGAGAACTTCTTTAGGAAAATATATGCATGTATTACATAATCGAGTCAACATGATATTGTACTTAATGTCCTCACCCTGGACTGACCACAGGGTAACTGTAACCCTAACTGATGGCAGGTGGCTAAGCACAAAGGACAGGGCAGCCAGGGAAGGCCACTAGATTGTGGGTAGGCATTTACATTAACTAAGGAGACCAGAATGTATTCAATGGGGAAAATGGAGCTTTTGTGAATGTTAAACAGGAAGTAACCAATTTGGTCTTTTTTTAAAAAGTTGTGTGATCAATGCTATGGAAGATGGTTTGAAAGAAGGATAGTTATCATTCGCAAGCTATTTCACTAAGGGAAACATGGTGAGACTTGGATTAAGAAGAAATGGCAATGAAGAAAAGATATTAGATGAGAGAGGAACAAAGGAAGGGGAGAAATCCAGGATGAATATTGTGTTAGTTATTTTTCTCATTGCTGAGACAAAAATAACTGACACCCATAGTTAAAGGAGGAAAGATCTATTTAGTTCACAGTTCGCAGAGGTTTCAGTCCATAGATGGCTTGTTTCAAGGCAGGGTGGCATGGCAGAGGGGCATCGCAGAGGAGAAAAAGTTCATGGTGGGCAGAGGCAGCAAATCAAGCAAGAGACAAGACAAGCCTCTTTCTGACCCTTATACTGTATGCAGGCTACTGGGATTAGGGCAGTGCCAAACCAATCAGTGGATTGATTTTGTAATCCCACCCTTAATCCTAAGTATTGGACCATGAATCAGTCAAACACTCTAGATCCCACCATCTCTGAAAAAGCCCCACCTTTGACCCCGTGAGGCTTTGGGCAACATCTAGACACAACCATAAAAAGTCCTTAATTATGTTCTGTGTCACTTGGCACTGTTTTTCCCCATTGATCAAAGAACTTGACTCACAATTCAGTGCTCTAAATACAATATAATTATGACCATTGAAAAAGTTAGAATTAAGCAACAGTTTCTATGGTTTTTATTGTTTTGAGGAAGATAGGCTGCCTATCTCCAAAGGGACTGAAAACATTCCAAAAACTAACATAACCTTGTTATGTTAACATAACATCACTCTTGTACAGCTCTTGTTTTCAATGTAACAAAATAAAAAATGCATTCATCCTTAGGACTTTACTGACATTAAAACAGGTCATAGAAGTGGAAGTGTTAATAGTATGACCAATTTATTTATTCATGAAAGAAATCCAACTACTGCCCAGTATATTTTCTTCATGTAGACATGACAAGAGGTGAAGGGTGGGTGAAAAGGGACTTAAATAATGAAGTGTTAGTTCTACAACTAATTCTACATAACAAAAACATTTAGTGGCACCAGGTTAGATAATGCCCATGTATCACCCTTCATGAGGTACATACCATATTCTTGTCTTCATTCGATATATTAATATACTCAGTCATATCAGCCCACCTGGCCTGAAAAAGTGCTACTCCTTCCGGCTAAAGTTGGAAGTATCTCCAATGATTGAGTTTGGTTGATTTTGTAGTTTAACTTTTGGTAAGTGGTCTTTCTTTCAAGTTCACTGTTACTTTAACATACTATCTTTTTCTTTGGTACAGAATATTTTAAAATTTTCACAGTTGAAGGTCATTTACAATTGGGCTCACCATGAGGGTAAATCATGCCCCATATCACCAGTAACTGCATGCCATGGAAGGTTTTGTCTATGAAGCAGCTAATATTCCTATCTGAAAACAGGCATTTTGTATCTGGTTTTGCAGTGGTTCTAGAATTTCTCTTAGATCTGATTTTCAGGAATTGGTGACACCTCCTAAAACTGTCTGTCAGAACCAACTGTCAAAAAGCTTTCTTAAATCTTTTAAACTTTTTAACTCCTGTCTGCTTTCTGTTTTCCATTTCATATTAACCTTAGATGATATTGCATATTCTAGTCATCACCATGAAAAAAATGTTATGTACCTGCTGAAGAGGCAGTTAGTATCAAATAGAGGAGGGATGGCCCCTGACCATGTCATTTCCAACATCATAAATCTATATTCATATTTAATGCATTTTCTTTCTTTCATTGTAGGATATAGTAGCTTCTGGGGTTTTTTTCCAACTCACGCTATCCTAATAGTTGGATTATTACATAAAAATCAAGGATTCATGGCATTTTGATTTGATGTTGTCTGCATAAACTGAACTTTTACTCATTAAAATACAACAAACTTCCTTTTGGGGGGATCATTCTATTGTTTTGTCTTGCAGATTTTTATTTTCTTCTACATTTATTTTCCTTTATTTTTGCCCATTTTGTGATACTGTCCTTGTTTCCCATTCATTGGTTTATTGTTGTTGCTGCAGTTGTTACTGATATGTAAAACTCACCAGAAAACAGTATTTACTGGTTTTAACTGTTTGTGTGGGTCTAGAATTTGAGAGTGTCTTGGCTGGCTGGTCCTCACCCAGCGACTTCTAGAGCTTGCAGTCAGAATTACTTCAGAGCAATGGTCTCAAAAACCTCTTTATTACTTTCCAGGATTGGGAATACTCAAGCAACTAGAGCTGCCCTTTATCTGCAGTTTCTTCACATGGTCTCTACACCATCCTAGCTTAGGGTAGCTGAGCCTCTTACCAGTTCTGCCCTATGGTATATGTCTCAAGAAAAAGTCAAATAA